GATAGTTTGGAGGAGCAAACTTGAAGAGCATGGAAAATATAGGAATAAAATTAAGCTAACTTTTGCTTGACTTTGGATTAACTTAACTTTGGATGACATGATTTAAATTGTGGTAGAAGGCAAACCGATGGGGGTTAAGGTAAACCGTTGTACTGAAGTTGGATGTATTACGTGTGACCAGAATGTCGAGAAACAGAAGAGAATTGCAAGTCTCAAGTTCAAAAGTGAACTGAATGGCAGAATCAATAGAATTCATTGTTGAAAGAACTTTATTTAAATCTTCTTTATTACCTTCAAACAGGGTAAAAGTATCATCTACATAGCGGAACCATACCGGGAAGTTTAAAGTTTCAAACAATTTTGATTCATAATAATGCATGTAGATATCAGCCAGGATGGGACTGAGGGGGCTTCCCACCACTAATCCTTCAGTTTGCTTGTAATATTTATTTTGGAAAACAAAATGTGTTTGTTTCAAACAGAATTGAGTGAGAGAAATTAGCTCATCAATTTCGATGCAAGAGAAATGAAATTCGCAAAGTCTGCTTTCTAGACATCTTAATGCACCCTCCACTGGAAAATTGGTAAATAATGACTTTACATCAAAAGAAACCATGAGTAAATTTCTAGGAGAAGTGTTTTTAACCTTTTTCACAAACTCTATTGAATTTTTTATATGTATCTTTTATATGTTTTATGGTGTAAATGTTATTGTATAATATAGTTGAAAATGTAGAAACTAAATATTTAGCTAATGGATACAAGGCAGTATCTAAATTTGATACAACAGGGTGGAAAGGAATACCACTTTTATGAATTTTGGGAAGAGCATATAATCTGGCACAATTCGCAACAGATGGGATAAGTGAATGTTTTAAGTTGCTTGAAATGATTTGTGAAGCTTTGATTGCAGTTTTTATTTTTGACAGGTCCGAAGGTGAAGGATCTTTAGAGATCGGATTATATGGTCCTATCCCTAAAGATCTAAACACACTAAAAGGCACACTCTTGTTTTAGGAGATTATAAAATTTCTGTTGTCATTCCCTTCTATCCATCAATTAGCTATAAAGTTGTGCATATTTTGCAGAAATATAACTTTCCGGTCATTTATTCTCCCATCAATAAAATTCCGAGTTCCATACTCAAGGACCCCATTCCGGATATGAATTCCTGGGGTATTCCTTGCCAGTGGGGTTTAATTTACATTGGTCAAACTAAGAGAGCCTTAAAATTTCACATCAAGGAACATGAGGCATATGTTAGAAAAAAGAAAACGCAGAAGTCTTCTGTTGCCCAACATTGCTGGTTTAAAAATCACACTTTCAATTTTTCTGCTGCCAAAATTATTCAAAAAACATTTTCCATTGGAGAACTGGATTTTTTAGAGGCATTTCACATTCAAAAAAATATTTCTGTTCTAGTTAACGACCCTAATTCCAATCCATCTTTGCCTTCGGCCTTTAAAGAAATTATGTTTTAGTTCTGGTTTCATCAACAGCTGGCGCCACTAGCTTATTTTCTGTCCAGGCTTTCTTATCTTATCTAATCATTATATCCTACCACGTTCATTTGCGCTTTTGCAGCTGAGGATGGTGGTTCGGTAAATCTATCGAGACTAGTCCTGTGAAAATTTGAAAATACAACGCTGATTTTTGTTGTTTGACTTCTGAATTAAAGAAGAGTGTTTATTTACCAATATGACATCAAGATCCACTGATGTGATTATGGAATATGAGCAACTTTATCCCAGAACTCTCGACCTTATCTCTGAACTCAAGGCACTACTACTGAACTCACATACTCTAGATACTCTCAATACACACCTACTCAGCGTACAAACAGGATATATCTATATATATGCTAAAGAAAATGCTAGAGAAAAGTCAGTAAGAATTTGTTCTAGAATGTTCTCGCTCTGTTTATGGCATATCGCCGATTTTGTCGCAAAGTGGGTGATTTCACGCCAAATCCGGCAACTCTAAACCCACTTTGTGGGGCAGCTAACTTACTGCAGCTGGGGATTTTGTAACACTGCCCCCTCTCAAGGAATGTACGTCCCGAGCAGCACAACCCTTGGTCAGAAGCCAAATTTAGTACAAACTAAAGGTAACAAAGCAAACAAATAAGCTGAATACATATAATAAACAAATATTTACACTATTTACAAGTTATATACACAAATTATACAAATACACATAAAATAAAGTTATATACACATAAAAATTTTAAATTATATAAATTAAAGTTCAGAATAAATTTCAGTCTCGGGCATTTCATTAAATTATTCCAGGTTAATTACTTTTTCACTGCCATTCTCAGATGTATTTCTGTATCACAGTCTGAAGATTCAGTCCTTTCAGATTTTTTCAGCCACAAGAAGACCTGAAAAAGTTTACTCACAACTTTGTAGTTTATTCGCATCATAAGTATAGTTCACCTCGGTATTTTTAACAGCTGGTACATGCTTATTTTGTTGTATTTCCTGAAAATCACTTCTGATTTTTGCATTAGAGCTATGAATAGAATTTGATTTTTTACAAACAGAAGTGTCCTGGTTTAGAATCAAGTTTGTGTGTGCACAACTTGTATTATGGGATACACACTTAGTTTGTGAAGAGGGTGTATTTCCTTGAGAAAACTGGAACACTCTGCTTAAATTGTACATCAGCTTCTCCCATCTCTGCATCACATGAATTTTCAGATGGTTCAATACTTGCTAACTTCGACTTCATAACCTCACTATCAGTTTCTACAATTTTTACAGCGCTGCATTTTCACTTTATTCCATCTTTACTCCTGGCACTTTAAAATCTGGAATATTTCCATGAATTATTTCTTCGCTTTTTTCAGATGCTCTACTAGCCACTTTTTTTATTTCTTCACCTTTATAAATGGTATTATCTCTTTCTTTACAAACAGTATTTCCAATTCAGGCACTTGAGAATCAAAAGCTTCTTTCCCATCTTTCATTTCTTCATCTTTTCGTTCTTTTTCTTCAATCTCATTAGATGTTCCATTCTTCATTTCTTGATCTTTCTCAGATACTTCACCATCTACTTTCCTCATTTCTTCATTCTTTGATTCTTCTGATGCCACTACTACCATTTCCATGTCTTCTATTTTTACTCCAATTTTTCCCTCTAAACTGCATGATGTCTCTTCTAATCTTCTTTTTAGTGAGTGTTTTGAGCTCAGAGGTTACCTTGAGAGCGACTGAACTGAAACGAGAGCTATACTTTAGCGCTATGCCATGAAGCAGTCTTCATCGCTGTAGCCCGAAGGCTGTGTTGCTGACTGTTTCAGTGTGTTTTTTGTAGTTTTTTGATGATTATAATGCTTTTTCTGAACTGTCCTGTATAATACTGGCAAATAAATTGTGTTTTGATAGTTCATAAAGCGTTGCAACCAATCACTCCAAATCCACGAACCCGGATTGCAACAACTGGTGTCAGAAGTGGGGCTTGCAAGTGAATGCAGGCAGGTATATATATAGCTTTTGACCTTTCTTTGAGAACATTGTCAGGAAAACCGTTAAGAATTCATTCTAGAATGTTCTTTCTCCATCTATGGCATATCGCCAAATGAGAAATTTCATGCCAAATTTGGCAACCTTGCCTTTCTTTGCCACTTTATGGCAACTCTAAATCTGCTTTGTGGGAAAGCTATATTACTGCACCTGGGCATTTTGTAACAATATTTTTCAAATTTGTAAATGGTAAAATAATTCAGTTTTGCTTAATCCCATATAAAAATGCATAAATTATATTTTCCAAAATAAATTACAGATTTCTTTAATGTTTATTTTATTAGCATAATATTAACAGTAGTAAGAATATTATTTCTTATGGATGTAACTACATGGCCCAGAAAATCATGAGAATGTAAATTATTTTACATGTTTAAGGATTCTAAAAAAAAAAAGTTTGGAGCTTTCCTTCTGTGATTTGGAGATGTCCAATTAACTCTTATTGAGAAATCGATAGAGAAATTTACATAAATATAATTTCATGTCACTTAAAACTGTTCCCAAAATCTCAGCTATTTTAAGTAAATGAAATTCAACTTAACTGAGAAAGCATTAACTTTTAGTAATGAAAACTATCAAAGTTTTGAAGATGTAGAAAAGCTCTCGTTAAAAATTAAAAAGGATGTTATTATTTAAGATTTAAGCTTTATAAAAAGTTATGAGGGCATAATTTCACAAATAAACAAATAAATATAAATTTCTTTATATTTTAGGCTGATTGAACTAACTTCATAACTTCAGTTTAACTAATTCAGATATTACTTTTACCAAACTGCACATGGTTTGATTCATTAGTTAATATATAATCGTGCTTAGACTATTGACTGGGCTTGACTACCTTGGTGCTCATTTGTTTTGTTTTAATCTGACCCCCTCACCTTTATGTGCTTTTTGTGACTCTGGACAAGTGCTCGGAATTACTGGACTAGTGCTTAAAAGTTTGGACTGTATTGTAAAGAAGTATTGTAGAGCTTGTTCCCTAATGACCTGATGGTCAATGACCAGGCATTTGATAAAAAACATATGCATAATTGTGCAGATAAATACTTCAGCATTTTTGCATAATAGAGTCAACTTAAACAAAAATTATTATAATTCTGTGAATTCAAAATTACTCATATATATATATATGTAACAGATGAAGTATGAAAAACAGTAAAATAAAGCAGTAATAATTAAGATCAAATTCAACTAATACCCTTCTTGTAAAAATTATATATTATTTACATCACAGTAAAATATATGTTGTTTATCAGTAAATGATGCGTTCAATGGGAAAATTGAAAAGATTCATATCTTAAAATAACATTTTAAAATATTTTCATTGACAAAAACTCTCACCTGGGAAATTAGTTCTTGGTATTAAAATAAATATTGCTATTATGGTAATCTATAATAAATAATCCTATTATTAAGAAGATTTAAAAGAAGTGATGCATAAAAGGTTACAAAAATTTTAACTAACAGACATACCTTGATCAAGACGACTCAAGGTAGTATATTGGGCAGCTATGTCTTGCCTTGCAGCTAGAGTATCAGGTATGAAGTAAGGCACAAGTACATCTTCTGGTTTATAATGGACTGGACTCCAATCTGGTATTAATCCCATTCCCTTTTCACCATTTCCAAATTTTTCACAAAATTCTCCATATTCAGGATTTGTGTGGCCACAGCGATGAGGATCATGAAAAGCGACATACAGAAAAAAAGGTCTACAACAATTACATGAAATAAATGAACTGTACAAATGAAAAGTATAAAAAATAGCACATATCATCATACAACAGCAAAAAGAAAGTCTTGAGTTCTTTACTCATTAGTCTCAAACTTCACAAAAGAGAAGTAACAAGTTTAAGAGAGTTAATAAAAGATAATCATGATAGCTAGACGAGCTGATCAAAGTACAGAAGAGAGGTAATAAGTTAAAGAAAATTAACAAAAGACAAATCAAGATAGCCAGATTGAGCAGATCAAAGTATTTCTGTTATGATAAAGTAGGTACGTAGAATGGTTATAGCGGAACTTTATTTTTTCAACGTGTGGTTCATGGAGAGGCAAACCATAAAACATCAGGAAGATATGGGCATGGTTCATTGCTTTGGATACAAGTGAAAATTATCCATATGGTTCATGTAAGCATAAAGAAGTTGTATGTGACATAAATAACTATTAATTTAATTAAGAAGATATAAGCATAGTATCATTATATATAAGAGCAAAGACCTTTGACCTGGATGAGGACTGCATTCAAGATCAGCTCTACATTGATAGGTACTTCATTAACTCATCGATTCTCAACTATTAACTAGGTTTAGATAATGTCAAATTACTCATAAAACTCACATGATTATCCAAAATAACCATATGTGGCAATCATGCTATTTCCTTTTTTTATGGGGCATAACATGTTTTGAGAAAATTTAATGATAATGGACATCTCCAAGGATTCTACTTTAATTGGGAGCAACATAAAAACCTGAGTCTAGTGTGCAGACTGAGCCCAATATTGACACCACCAAGAGTTAAGAAGGCCGTATCACTCCCCTTGCTACATCATGATGAGGAGACCTCTTGTGACTCGTAGCTTTGACCTTTGACTGATATGGTTATAAGGTCTCAGTTTGTTGGTATGACTGACTACCATTACTATATTTTTATATCTCCTGTAGAAAATGATTTTCTCTTCCATATGTTTTTCGTTTTCATTTTGGATTAAACTACACATCATGCCAGCTAGATGTTGCATCCCTGGATGCATAGGAAACTGTAAGGGACAGCTAAAAACAATCAGATTTTGTTTCCTGAGGGATCCAGATCTCCAAAGAAAATTGATAATGGCAATCCATCGAAAAAACTTCCAGCCTACGAAAGCTTTTAGGTAAGAATTATATGTTTTCTTAATTACTGTTTAGCAACTGAATTTTTTTTTCTAGGTAAGAAATATTTTCAAAAAAATTAAGAAAGCAATTTTAGTTATATAATTTTATATGCAAAATGTCAGATGATTTGAAAATTTCAGTTGTCACCTTTCACAACTTAATAATAAAATACTTTTTGGTGAACATAAATTTGTAATGAAAAAATTTATGATTATTCTAGTTATATTTCTAATCCTTTTAAGAGCTGTTAATTTTAGAAAATGTTAATTAAATCATTTAATAATTTAAATATTGTAACTAACAAATATTTAGAACATGCCATAGTAATATAGAGCGATACTGACATAAGAAAACTCCAATATTAATTATAATATATATTAAAAAAGTAGTATTTAGGTCCAAAATATTTTAAAATTTAGTTTTCATAAAAACTGAACAATTGATGTCTGTTCTCAAATTGAGCATATTTAAAAAGACCAATAATAAACATTATGAAGTACAATAATCAAAATTATATTTATAATTTAAATAATGTAAACAAAAGAAGAAAATTTCCATTAATTATACTATTGAACTACAATCATAAGCATTTTAAAAACTATATGTTCACAGAAATTTAGCTTCAAATTTAAGCTAATAAAGAATTAAAAACCATTCAATTTTTAATTAAACATATTTTGTTTTCTTGTTATAAGAAGAAATTTTTTAAACTTATTGAATAATGAAAATTCTTGGTTTTCAATTAAGATAACATTTTCTGCTGTACAATACACTTATTGCAACATTTTAGGAAGGTTAAAAAAAAGGGGAATTTTTGTTCCTTAAAGAATTTTTATGAAGACTCTAATTGTCTCTTTTATTTCATTAGGCCTGTAAGCTTCATTTTGTTGCATGCGACATCGAAAGAATTTTGAAAATGTAAGATGAAAGAACCGGTAGAAAAGTGACAGCAGTTTTACAGCATCCTCGTCTAGCATGCAGTGTTGTTCCTACAAAACTTCCTAACTGTGCTGTTCCTACAAAATTTCCTAATTGTGCTGTTCCTACAAAATTTCCTAATTGTGCTGTTTATTTGTCGAAACGCTGAGAGAAAAGAGAAAGTTTCAACTGCAAGAAAGAAAGATTGAAAAACAAGGCTTTAGAAGCTGCAATTACTGAAAGCATAAAATCCCCCCCCCTGAAAAAAAAAAAAAAAAAAAAAAGGTATTTACTAGTCTTTCTGAGCTCTCTGAAAAGTTGTGTTTAATTAGTCTACCAGAACAGTTGTCAATCATTCAGAAATTGGAGAGAACATTTCAGAGAACATTATCGTTTCTGCTTTGATAATGTTACGAACTGCACCATGTATTGTAGCTTTGCTAGTGGTGACTGAAGGGCTTGATTGAAATATTTACAATGAAGGCATTCAAGCAACAAATTTAGAAAATACTGTCATACCTAAAAACATAAGTAACTGTAATGATTTTACAACAGTTATTCAGAAAACAAATGCTGTTTGTTGTAATCTTTCTCATAAAAACAATTCAAAACTACATATGGTACAAATGCTAGTAGATGACATAACAGAAACTAATTCAGGCGTTGATAACTTGCATACAATACAGTTCATAAATGACCAAATAGGTCTTTTAATTCACAAAAAAGTATGAAGGTGTTACAGTACAGATGTCTTAATCTTTTGTTCAATGCTTTATACAGTATTCCTTCATGGATATTGTTTCATAATGTCTTCAGGAAATATGATCTTGCCACATCCAAATACCCTGCGTACATTATGTTCTTCATTTCAACCAAACCCAAAAATGGAATGGCATGATAGTAATTTTTTGTCATATATTGAATCTAAGTTCCCATTATTACACCAAAAAGACTCATGCATTGCACTTTTGTTGGATAAAATCCATATTAAGTCCTTTTTGGAATTCAAAGGAGGAAATATTTATGATTCATCACATGACAGTGTCCATGCAGCTACCACAGCATATGTATTTATGATTCTGAGTTTTTCGTCATCTTATAAAGATGTTGTTCATATTTTAAGAATTGGAAAAATAATAGCTGAAGAACTGTTTTTGTGCCTAAAAAAAAGTAATTCTCAAGCTGGAGGAAACTGGTTTTATGGTTATCACAGTGGTGAGTGATAACAATTCTATTAATTCAAGAGCAATTTCTTATTTTGCCATTCCACCTAAAATATCTATAGTTTATAAATATCCTCCCAATATATTGAGACCATTATTTTTTCCTATTGACAGCGTTCACATCTTAAAGTGTGTCGAAAGTAACTGGCTCAACCAGGGAAAAAAATTCGCAATGTTTTCATTTTCCAGACTTTAATGATTGTTGTTTTGACTCGGATTCAAATGAATCTATTCTTATGGAAAATATGCAAATGCTAACTGTATCTTTTTCTAATTTAAAACAAATGCATCAGCTAAAAGATTGTGAACCATTACTTAAATACAGTTACGGCTTGACTTTAGAAGCTCCTAATCCCTCAAATTTACAGCAAAAAAATGTAGTTTTAAAAATATTTAACAAGTTTGTTTCTGAAGGACTTCAGGACTTGGGACACAAATATGATATTCCATACTATTCCCTAACTGAAGACTTCATAGAAATAATAAGCACATGGTTTGATTTTGTAAATATGAAAACACCATTCAAAGGTATTAGATTAAGAAATGTGTATCAGCAGCCTATGACTTATGACACAGGTAAAAGATGCCTTTTACTGAAAAAAAATCTTGCCTGGATTGACACATGGTGTTATAGAAATTGTTCTATGGAAGCACTTACCAAAGAAACAAATTTTGCCTTTTCTCATACAACACATGCTCTCCTTGAATTAACTAGGTATTATATAGAGGAATTAAAATTTAAGTATTTTCTGCCAGGTAAAGTTCAGACAAATGCTCCCAAAGACAGATTTGGCCGGTATAGGAAATTATCTGGTTCACAATATAATGCAGCAATAACTCAGATATATGAATCAGAGGGCAAGCTGGTGGTGCAAAATTTCTTACCGTTGACTCTTGGATAAAAAAAGTTTGCAAAAATTGAAATCAAAAGTTTTGATGCAAATAATATTGACCTGATTAATACTGACAAGGATTTTATTAGTGCCTTCTGTACATTACAAGTAACTCAAAATGAGCTGGATTCCATTACTGTTCTGCCACTCATAACACATCTTGTTGGGTATTGCATATAGAGGTTTCTGAAGACTGTGCAATGTGAGTGCCATCAGGAAAACCTTACCTTTGACAAAACTTTGGAGTTGGATGAAGAATATGGAATGAGGTGGATTGCTATGTCCACAAACAGACATAATAACTGTAGTAGTATCATATACCTTAACTGTAGTAAAAATATTAGTGTCTGAAGAGCATGAAAACAGTTTTTTAAAGGTATGCAATTAGCAATCTCTTCCATGGGCATTAATGTATCGAATTTTAATGGACAGTGAATGCATAACCTATGACCAATGTAATAAAAGACAAACCTTAGAAAATATTCTAAATTTTGTTATAAAAGTATCATGCACTACTTTTCTTAAAAACTACTGTACTCAAAAGAATAATGCGCTGAGAAATACTTTAAGGAAACGAAAATCTCAAACTTTAGTAAAATAGATAATTTGTGTTCAGTTTAAAGGAAGCTTTCCGTTTATGTAGCTGACTGGTAAGTTTTATTTATGTTTGTATAAAATGTTATAATGAAATATATATGCATATTTTTATGGCAATTTGAATGGATTATTTATTTTGTCGAACTACAGTACAAAGTCTGTAAGCCGGACGTCCATTATCCGGAATGATCTATAATCCGGA